TCCTAAGTTATCCGACTCCCCATTGTTCTTAGATTTGGTACCTCCCAATCTGTTGACTGACATTGGGATAGTACCCGGGTTTGCTACCAGTAATACAGCCCTTCTGACGATCACGGTAATGCAGAAGGCTGCAGTGTCGGGGAGCCTTCACATTCTCCGAAAGGTTCTGGGTGGGTTTGACCAGGCAGCGCTTCCTGGGAGAAGTCCCATTCGTTGTCTGGGCTGCGTGTAGAGGGGGCAAGGGGCCTGAGCTGGTGATGAGCCTAATCAGGATCACCCAAACACATTTGAAGCACATACATTTTGCAAAATTTCTTTTCGAGGACACCGTTTTGTAATGTGCTCTTGTAATACTTTTCATGCAAATATGTCTATATGCAACATGACGCCTATTAAGGACAGTGGGAGGCGTCCAACATGTCAATCTGTCAATCTGATACCCAGCGGAGTTTCCGGTGTTGAATAGGTACCCGTTACCACATACTTGTAACCGACTGAAGTGAAAAACAATTGATTACAGTAAGTGGCCTGTTTGATGTTCTTCAGGTCATGCTATCAACCACATCACTTTGCCTGGCCCTAACTCGGTTGTCAACAGACAACGTAGTCTGAGCACTATCATAATACAACGTAGTTATTTCTTACTAAAGTACTGGTCCTCCTTGGTGATTCCGGATTAAAATACGAATACATACCAAACAATCTATGCTTGTCGTAAGAGGCGATGTACATGGATTGGTGGTCAGGCTTAGTGACTTGGTTGATTGCGTTTCATCGTGCCCCGATGATGTGGCCTTGTTTATGATATCAACCAGTGGTTTGTCTGGCCCTAAATAGGAGTATTTACAGGTCTTTGTAGTATGAATATTCCCAAGGTGGTGTTGAATAATACACAAACGAACAAAAGTACAGGTATCTGTAATAATGCTTCACACAACATTCTACACCGTGTCATCTTATTTACAAACACTTGTGACATATAGTAATCTATAGTCACACTGGTAATCAACTATGACTGAAATTAGGTTTCACTGATGCACTGGGGATTATCAACATGCCCACTGCTCAATCAAGGGAGGTAATTGATGGTTACATTGAACAGACGTTCAAAGGTGGACCACTATCTAATTGGCGGAAACGACCGAACCTGCTCGCTCGGGGACCGGAATTATTTTCTCCCAGTCGTTTCCGTTTTGTCTTAAGATGTTAGCTCAAGTTGGAATGTGGTAATTAATTCGCTTATTCCATTTTCCACAAAAATTATAACCACCCTGCGGAGAGCAATTGCTGGATTCAGTTTAATTACATGATTACATTGCGTCATGATCAAAATGTAATTTGAGTCAATCAGTCGTGAGTACAGTAAAGGCACCACACAATTATATGAATACACCATTGAGTACACATTCATCTGTAAACAGAATTATCAGGCGAAACTCGAAATATCCGGTAAAAAATAAGTGCCATCAAATTTCTAAAACTGCCATGTGTCTGCGATGTATGATTTCGTTTGCCAAATTATCTTGCCTTGATGATGACATACATACAGGGGGTTATTTCGTTCTGCACGGCCCTGTGGGAGATGACTGTTGTTACCTGTTTATTGTTGCACCCCACCTCTTCAGTGGTAAGAGTCTGGCGACAACACCAGGCATCATTGTGTATTAGTATTCATATATACTAACGGGGAAAAGGTAACTGTAAAAAGGGGAAGTTCAATAAAAATACATGTATCCTGAAATCAAGTCATGTATCATTTACTACATATTCATAAAGATATCTCCTCGACTTTAAGGTCGTGTTTCACAAGTTGCATGTACATGTTTGTGCATGGCGTACATTTGGATGTTTGCGTGTTTGTTGGGAGCATGACACTCGAGCCCACACGCGTACTTTTTAATGTAAACACCACAGAAAGAGGTGTTCATTAAAACACCTTTGTTTAACCGTAAATAGCGCTACGACCCATGGGACATCTTTGGAGACGTCATGTTCAGCAGGGCAACATCTATGCCTTGCCACGGATCGGTCGTCCACGGGTTATATGTCAAGTAAATAAGACAACCATATTCGGTTGGTCCATCTACGGAATCGACACCAAACTGACACATTAACAGGTCGGAAAATTCCAAAGTTAAGACCAATTAGATGCAGGACCGTAGGCAACCGGTTAAGTGAGCACATCTGTCCTGCTTCCACGTCATCGTTAGGCACGTCTAGATTCTTGTAGACAGCACCAGAAAGGCCATTATCTGGACAACTCTGGTCGTGCAAAGGTCTACAGGCGTCCAGGAGAACGTTTTAGGTGAGCTTGCATTATTCAGTTTTGGTGTGGTAGTGTAATGGTATGAGAGAACACATCATACATACGTCAACGTATATATACGTCTGTGTAGGAGTCGAAGGCAATTCTGTCCTGCGCTTCTCTGCACCTGTAGAAGGTACATGTACCAACAGAAATGTCCTGACGTTCTCACTTCAAGCCTCCTCCTTCAGCCTGTGTACCGTTGGAACGGACATAGTAACCATTTAATCATAACTTTCATACAATAAATATCATACTACATAGACACAATGTGGGTCACTTCGAGGCCTCGATGAATTCAGGACCTCTTTAGGTGACACGTGACATACATTTCCCATTACATTCAAATCATCAGATGTCAACGGTCCTTGCAATGAGACCGCCATTTTACATCAAATGTTCACAGTTGAAGAAAATGTTCAATTAGAAATCAGCGATGTCGAACTTTACCTTAAGACGACTTCGTTGTAAGCGGAGTGTGCGTTCACGTTTGTGCAAACAGAGCTGCTTATAAGAACTCCTCTGTGAAACCGCATTCGTCATCTCACTCTGTATTATTCTGGCGATCAATAACAAACTTGTACTCACCACTAACATTCAAATTCATTTATACATTCTGTGATAAGGTGCTGCGTTGCTGATGCAGATGCCCGCTAGAATTAGTTAATACAATGTACGTGATCAAAGGGGAGTAACTCTATAATTTGTAATATACGACATATTTTGACGCATGGCACGGTTAGGATATGCGTTATCAATCTTCCATAACAAACACTGGCTCTGTTAGTACCTACATGAAGGGGCATTCTCGGTCATGTTGCATAGTGCCTGTGTCCGGGACATTCTGCTCGATGGCGATCGATCTTAGACTGATACGAAAGATGATGGAACTGCATATTAATGGGATGCCATCAGTCGCTACGGTCTTTTATACTTACGCCTACATCAACCACTCAAAAGCTTGACAATAGATTGAACTAGATATGCACCTCGTACAGGTATACTTAAAACGTAATTTGCAGGTGTCTTTATCGACATTTTATATTAATGAAATAAGGAAGGTTGATAACAAATATGTCCACATTTCTATTTCACGAACGTCACATTTCATGAGGACATCATTTTGTGTTGTGTAAGAAAAAGCCCAATTGTTCTACAGCGAATATGTTCGCTGTCAAACACTAACCTTGTCGAACACAAATCCAATAATTTAAGTATAAACGAATCTATGTTTTTCAATCACCCAAGGATCCATTACTTGTGTATGTATGTGTATGTAATACAAACAGTATCCGACGACTTTTGAAACAAATATGCTCAGAGGTCCCAAATGTAGTTGTGTTACATGAAGATGGCCAACGTGGGATATCACCTACATTAATAATATATACCCAGAGGCTAGGTGCTTCGCATTGCAGGCATGGTGTGTGTACGACGCACTGGCAAAAAGGCAGATATTGATATGAGTTATAGAATACTCCAACCTGGTGACAACACCAGACAATATCATTAGGTGTTGTCATTATATAACGGTTAATGCCACAAAGAGAACAGCAGGTACTAAAATTCTCCCTTTTTCGCTGACAGTGGATGATAAATGTAGCCATCTCAACTACGTACCTTGGAAGATAATGCAATGTCGCTCGACCCCTTCCAATTATTGGCTGCTCATCTCCCGGGAGTGTATGAGTGATAGGAAATCAGAACTGTGGAACAAGCTACACGGAACGCTATTCCACCTCCTACGTAAAACGCATATACAATGTCTTGCAACATTACGTCTCAATATAATTATATGATGTTTTGACTTACAGTGACGAAGCGCATTTTTAATTTGGCAATACTATCCTTGCATATGACTTTTTAAAAATTGTATACTTTATCTTACATATGAAACTGGCATCTGGCATATTGGTGGCTATGGGGATGGGACGTTAAAGTTTGGAAGCAGGCTTAATGATTCCGAATTTTGAGTCACTCTTTTGAGTCAATGACACCACCAACCATGCTTCATGCAGGGAATTTGTTTTTAAATAGACCTACGGGCATGTAATTTGGTTGGGAGATTAAATTCGAAAACAGGCAACCTATGAGATTCTTGTATGTTTATTTGCATAGACTGTTTCTGATTAGCACCCCTTGAAGTATCTATCGTTTCCTCGTGTACCAGACGCCAACGCCATTATGTAGGGATGTTCGACTGCATGTTAACCACATGGTCACCTGCAGAATCCATTGTGTTAATCCATGTCGCGTGATCCACAGTCCACTTCACTTACATCTCAAGAATCTATTTCAGAACTTACTCCCTGGTGTCCGTCAATTTAGAAAGGAATAAGAGAGGACCACCCTCGCTGTACACACGGACAACCAGGAAATGAACCAAATTGGTATTGGAGTACAGGCCAGGGTAAAGAACGTGCACATTGATGAGCAAAAGCTGAATACGATTATCTTGTGACATCTGGCACCGCACATTAAATGGTCATTATTGCCTTCTTATATGATATAACTACCACCGTCAATGAAACAAAGCGATTGCACGTTCAGAGAGGCATCTATCCGTAAATTTACACATATTTCCAGATTTCTTCCAAGCGACTACACCTAACGTCTCCTAATTGCCTTTTCAATTATGTGTCCCCTTGGTATAGTCTGCGTCCCTCGACAGACCGAGTGGTAATGGGCGGTGCAAACCTGACAAACAAAGTATCAATTATAGCAGGGCAGTCGGACCATCAGATCAATCATACAGCGATTGACGAGAGACTGGACCAGTAGGCAGGCCTTGGTCCTAGGAACAGCTCCTCTCGCACTTCGCACGTGCCTCAAGCGACAGCACGCGTCATGACGGGCGAGCCTTAGCCTCTCAGTTGAGGATCACTATTGTTTTACAGGGCATCACACAGCGGATGGTAATTGGTATCTGGCTAAATCTCGCCAAAGCGGCAAGTGTGAATCTCAAGCTGACAATACCGTGTTATCGTTGTTGGGATGGGATTCCGCTAAGTGCAGTGGTGCTGAATTAAGGGCATGGCCCTGTGATGTCGCAACGTGTTGGAGTAGCTGGGAGATGTGTTGATTTCGACTTTGCTCTCTGATGGAATATACAGTCGGACTTAGGACCATGCTAGACATAGAACTTCTTCTCGCCGTATGTGTGGCGTTCGAATTTGGTAAGTTTTACAAAAAAAAGTTTCGTTTCGTATGTGTTGTGTGTAGTATGTTACAATAGATTTTGCACGTCGGTTTATAAGGCTGTAAAATGTGATTAATCAGTTAGTCGTGACCATATCCTTGTAATTACCTGAATATTTTTATAGGTTTCTATTTCTTGCATTAACGTTGTTTTTGTTATTGCTTTATCACATGGAGCATGCATATGCTTTTAATATAAATCTGTCAAATATGTATAAATAACAGTATAACAGTAAAATAAATCAGCTCAATATCTGTATTCATGCTTGATATGTATGATAATGTCATTTCTTTTAAATGTATTTATACAAAGATGTTGATAAATGTCAGGGTAATCTTTAACAGGTGTTTGTATCAGTTTCACAAGCAGGATCTTTAAATTAGCATCATCTTAAACTGCATATATAGCTATTGTAAGAAGCACGTGACACCAAAACATGAACCTCCGGAAGACAAAGCATGCATGTTCATGAGGAGATTATAATAACGGTTACGATATTCATGACCCGTATGGGTGACGTAAGCGTATCACAATTAGGAACAAAGCAGAACATGCATCAACATATGTATGACAGCATGGAACACTCACCACTGTATAAAGCCTGGCTCGGTGATGAGTTATGATGCTGAACTGATATACACACCACTTTGTTTTCATTCCCTACCGACTACATGGATGAAATGTCAACCGCCCTGTAATATCCTAATGAGTATTTATCATTGTAGTCCGACATAATGCCGTATACATTCGGACAATATTGGCTGTGCATGAGCAAATAACATTAATATTCCTTGAGAATATGCAATAACGTGAAACAAATGATTAATTATAAGAAACTACATTTAAAAAAACTTCTCAAAAGAAATGTAACACTTGAATGAAACATATCAAAGATAGTAAATATGTCAAGAGGAGAACCTCCTCTGATAACAATGGTAAGTGTTCCTCAACAGTGCTCAAAAGTCAGCTCAATTTACTTTCAGACTTCATGGAAAGTCATCTCACGCTTTAAGTGAGTTGGGTGTTGTTGCAGGATGTCACATCAATCAAGTAAATATCCCTAATAGGTCTCATTGGTAATGCTCCAAATCTGACGCCACAATATGGTGTACATATATCTACAACGCTTTTGTGCTTTTGTGGCCTTTACAGTTTTGGGACATTAGTAGAGACGATGTTATTGTCCTACGGGTTAAACATTGGCTCAAATGATAAGACTGCACCATACGACTTCAAACATATTCATTGCGTTAACTTGCAAAAGCGTTTCATCTGTTAACATTGAAGGCAATTTTCGTGTGTGGTATATGCTACTTTAAGATTTCAGAAATGTTGTCATGTGCACGTTATCGGTCGCTTTTAATTTCATCAATGATTAAGTATAAAAGGCATATTATAATGTTACAATTATACCTGCGTCCGGATTCGTGTATCACCCTCATCACGGATGAAGGAATTGGAATACGGTGTACATTGAGCACTGACAGCTTCAATGATATCATTGCTTTTGAAAGTCATTCTTGGCATATTTCAGAATGATTTTCAATGTGTTAAATGACGAATATTATTCATTTGATGGAGTATATAGGTTTAATGAAGTAGTTTATTATATTAAATCCATGACATGGATATCTATTTCTTACTCGAATCTTTGTGAGAAGAAATTCCATCTGAAGACCTTTCAAATGCTTAATACATAACGTGAACTTTAATAAAATCACTTATTTCAACAAAAGTTATTGTTACTTCACTTTATTTTTCGGCGTAAAGTCTATATCAAAGAATTGTGTGATGACACAACAATGGTAATTTCACAAATTGATGTTTACAACAGTAATTGTTCCTGAGTTAGAACAAAGAACATACGCAAAGACTTTTCATATAACTTAATTAACAGATCCAAAATACTATATAGTTCGTATTTTCGCAGTAATAATTCGCATAATTATTGCAGGATCAAAATAAAAAGTAAAATAGTCAGATAAGATTTGCTTATAACATGAACGGTGTAAAACGTTGCTGTCTACAACCAACAACATCTGCATTCAAAGAAATAAGCCTAGGGAATACACACACATTTTCTGTCACCATTTCTAATCTCAACCATGACTTTTGTCGCTAGCAGTGTCGAAAATTGATGTTTCAATATTGCCGATTCTCTCAAGTTGTGTTCAAAAGCAGACGGGTTTCTACGAAGGGCATGTGAATATTTATGCTGCGTTGTTTGATTTCCCTTAGGTGAAAGAATTAGATTTACTGCTTCCACATTGTGATTCCGCTGAATAAGACAATTTGCATCAATACTTCAGCTTTATTCTTATGAATGTAAACACTGTCATAAAGAATTATACCAACCTTGATGATAATTATACTCCCCGATTATGATGCCAAACACGTTCAGGATTTCCAGTACATTTTACTTATTCATTATTCATCAATATAAATACGTCGTTCGGTGTTTTACTCACATAACCTTTTATGAATCTGACAGAAACAATACATCGGATTAAAATACAATCGGTTTGTCTCTCGAGTTGCATTCGGGAACTGTTGCACCACGTCCTTTGTTGGATAACTCCGGAAAGACCTGTGAAACACAACAAAGAAAAAAGAAAAAATCAATGTTAAATCTAAGATCATATCGACCTTGTTGTCATGGCATGGCCGACGTTCACATGAAAAGCATTCTATTAAAGGGGCCATAGAGTTACTGTCACTTGAGAAGAGCAGTCAGATTGCATGATTGTTGCACTTCACTCATATTGGACCTTATCAGCTGATCTTTCTTCTGGTGTCTCTTACATAACCCTTAGATGTCATCGCTTTTCTTTACATACTCAGTTACAGTATTATCAAGCTGTCCATAAGTTCAATCTGTAGATCTGGTACCTCTAGTTCGTTGTCTGCCCATTCATGAGTCAATAACTCCTGGTAAATATTAGAATTTTATAATGTATGTGTAGAAACTTTTGAAAATAGGTTCGTTTCGGATTTTTTTCAAAATCAATTATATTCTTAAGGTTTATTTTCATTCCTGGCTCTATGTATATTTGAGACATTATCCACCGTTATATTGACATAAATGTAAGTGCGTGAGATCAACAGAAGATCTATTATTTCACATCGGGTCTGCTTAATGTGGGAGGGAAACATAAAGGACGCAGGTATTAAACGTTTGCCTCTTAGTGGAAATCCATTAGTACTGGCATGGTGCTGACGGACTAAGGAACATTATCAGGGGTAATCCTTGATTTCAAACCCACGGTCAGTGGAGCCTCAGAAAAGTTACATTTTCTTGTCGTATCAACTGATATCTATATCTGGAGTTTTCGGCAGTCATTTGAGTCACCACAGTTCATTCAGTATCTAAACTTGTTACTGATCTCACAATAGCATCTAATATGACGCTTTTCCGAAGAACAGTGAATGACATTTTATTTTCGCTTTCCGACATTATATATAATAGGACAAAAACAATGATTTTGTTTACATTTGTTTGTTTGTTTGTTTGTTGTTTAACGCCGCACTCAGCACTATTCCAGCTATATGACGGCGGTTTCATTTGTAATGTTGTTAATGTGTATACATGTATATGGTATTGAGGTTTGATGAAACCAGTGAGGACAAAAAACAAACAAATTCTCAACAAACAAGCCCTGATTTTTCAATCGTGATATATTCATCACAAAAGTTGATAATGTTAATGTGTGATAAAATAAACTTTGTGATGAATCAATACTAGTAATGAAGTAATGTACCCTATAACGATTTTAAGACCAAATGTATCCTTCAGTCAGTGAAACTGATTAAGATATCAGATTGCTCTTGCTGTACGACTGACCACAGCGGCGCAAAGCCACACAATCAGGATCAATATTCATTGGCCACAGATCTCAAAGGCTTGCTTCTACAAATGTTATCTGATATTCATTAGCAAATACTGGCATTCAGATACGAGTTCACCCTGACAATTTAACACTTGTGTGGTTTGATTTATTAAATCAGTTTAGGCATGTACCAACAATAATAATATTCACACTTCTACATGTCCCATATGTGTGGTATATCGAGATTAGTTCGCAAAAAAACTGAATGATGTGACCTGTGATGTTACATCATTGTTCATCAGTAGATGCACCACACACGCCCATTTGTGGACTTCATCATTCAACAGCTGATGTACTCAAGCTTAGCCATTCATCAGTTGATATGCTACACATATTCATTAGTGCACTTCATCATTCAACGACAGATGTACTACACATATTCATGTGCCCTTCATCATTTAACAGTTGATGCCTACACATGTTAGCCTGTGCCCTTCATCATTCAACAGTTGATGCCTACACATGTTAGCCTGTGCCCTTCATCATTCAACAGTTGATGCCTACACATGCTAGCCTGTGCCCTTCATCATTCAACAGTTGATGCCTAAACATGTTAGCCTGTGCCCTTCATCATTCAACAGTTGATGTCTACACATGTTAGCCTGTGCCCTTCATCATTCAACAGTTGATGCCTACACATGCTAGCCTGTGCCCTTCATCATTCAACAGTTGATGCCTACACATGTTAGCCTGTGCCCTTCATCATTCAACAGTTGATGTCTACACATGTTAGCCTGTGCCCTTCATCATTCAACAGTTGATGTCTACACATGTTAGCCTGTGCCCTTCATCATTCAACAGTTGATTTACTACACATATTCATATGTGCCCTTCATCATTCAACAGTTTGTAGGCACATGTTCATATAGGCCCTTCATCATTCAACGGTTGGTAGTGCACATGCTCATATAGGCCCTTCATCATTCAACGGTTGGTAGTGCACATGTTCATATATGCACTTCATCATTCAACGGCAGATGTACTAAACATATTCTTATGTGCCTTTCATAATTCAACAGCGGATGTCTGCACATGGTCGTCTGTGCCCTTCGTGATTCAACAGTTGGCAGTGCACATATTCATATGTGGC